GCACAAAACCTCCGTTCCCAGAGTTGGAATTATGGTGCGGAATTTTGCGTGTGCGGGAGGGAAGGCTCTGGAAGTGGACAAATAATCACACAGCCCAGGAGAAGCACGTCCTTAATATAGGAGAAAAAAATAGTGACTTTTAAATTTAATATTGAATTTAATGTGAAATTTAATAATGTTAAATTTATGTTAAGTTCATAAAGTTTAATAGCATCTCATTCAAAGAAAACCAAAATTTTGCTGATGTTCCAGCTGATTTTGTGCTTTTTTACAGACCACTACAGAGCACTACAATTTCTCTTAGCTGGAAAGTGAATTTCCTGGAAAGCTTTGTGATGGCAGGAAGAATAATCTGATTTTACCACCATTTCTCTCTGATTCTTTGGCTGGTTTTCAGGCCTGCTGTGCTGCTGGGACCATTGGAGGCATGGAGTGACACCACAGCTACTGTGGACACATCCATGGGTGGTTTAGCTCTGCTCTAAAACAGCATCAGGGAGAGGAAATTCTGCAGGGGTGTCCCTGTGGGCCTCAGGTGACAAACTCTCAAGAGCTTTAAAAATAAGGGAGTGATTATCAGTGGAAGAGGAAACAGCTTAGCAACTTCTTAAAATAATTTTTTTTTTTTTTTTTTAAATCAAACCACACAATTTTCAATAATTGCGTATTTCCAGAGCCAGGATGGGATTACATTTGTAAGGTTTTCTTAAAGTATAAAATATTCAGTGGATTTTATTTTCATTAATATCTAGATTAAGTTCAGCAGTTCTGCAGTATTAACTATTTTTTTCTGGGAGATATTGATTAAACCTGGCTCTCTACTAACACTGATTCAACCCAATTGGAAGAATTCATGAAATTGTAATAATTTTGTAGGTATCTGTAATAAGCAATGTCAACATGGTGAAATGTCAACATAGTGGCCTTTAAATCATGATTTTCTTTCAATGTACTTCAGCTCAATTCCTTCTGAGGGCTTTTCTACCTTTCCACACATGTCAAGGCAAACATTTTAGGGGAATTTCACTTTGTTTTTCACCTGTTATTCACCTTGTTTTACACACTCATTAGCACAAATTAAGCAAGAACAGTATATAGAGAAAGATTAAAATTATTTTAAGTTGTCTGAGCAAAAAGAAAACCCATAGATTTCTCATTCTGCTTGGTGGAAATGAATTATTTTTAGGCAGCATTAGTGCTATTCCCTGCAAAAGGTTACTTTTAATGGTATAATACATGCTTTCTGGCACAGACAGAATAATTTTCTGAGCTAATATTGATTTAGGATTAGAGTGAAAAATAGATCTCACTTTCTCATGTTAAACTAATTCCAAATTAAGATTTAAATTAAAAGGTTAGAAGGAGGTCTCAAAAATAAATCACTTTGGAGGCCTCACAACTTCATTATTGTTTGTCTAATAAACATCAAGCTTTAAAAATGATACTCTGGATAGAAACTAAATGAAAATTATGATTCAGAAAGGAGCTTTGCCAAAAATGTTTTAATGAGGAAGTTTGATTCCACAGTCACTTAGTGAGTGTAATAAAGTACAAAAGGCAATGTAAAGTTGTTGTAAATAATGAAAATGCAGATGATATTAGAAATGACAGAACTGAGTCTGCTGGACCAGAGAGCATTTCTGAGGCTACTGTGGAAAATATGAGATTTACTCACTGAAATGGAAGTGGGGAAGCATAAATGCCCAGGTTGTTGCCATCAAGATGCTCCACTACTGTTGAGAAATAAAGCCAGGAGATGCAGATTTTTTTTTTTTAGTTATAAAGATTAACTTAAGGGACATGAGATAACCAGCTCATTTTTAGGTGTGACTTACTGCAAAAGCTACAGTGGTTAAATTAGTTTTAAGTGCCTTACACTAAGAAGTGCATTGTGAAAGAACTAGATAACTAGGCAATTTCCTATTGTGTTTTTAATTAAAGTTAATATTTTGTGCTTGGAAATGAAACACAAGGAAGTTAATTATTGAATTAAACTAGAGCTTTTCAGTATCATCTGCTGAGTGGAATGCTATTCTGCCTTAAAAGCCTCATATAAATGGCTAAAGCAATCTTTCACACATGTAACAGATACAACTATTTAATAAAATATGAATGAGAAGCTACTCATACCCTGCTGTGAAATAGTTATTAGTTTCTACTATAATACATGAATTTGCTTCTCCTGAAGAAATGCATTTAAATGGTAAAGAATGGTTGATGTCTGATCGTTACATTTCGTGTGTTAAACCAAAAATATTTATATTGCTTTTATGTTCAGGAGATAAATAGCTGTCATCATGCCAGGCTATAAAAAACTGATTCCCATGTCTTTTTGATGGTATGTGATGATGGAACCACACTAACAATCCAGGTTTGTTTGGGATTTTTTTAAATATTTTTCTCATTAAGTTGTCATCTCCAAGGTCTCAGTTTTGAGGGGGATGAATACATGTTTAAACAGTACTTGAAGAAATGGAAAATGAATAAAACCTTGATCCCACTCTTGATACTGATGTGCTTTTTGATGATCTCAGTGGGACTTGCATTATATTTATTGGGCTTTACACTACACACTCGTTTTTGTCTTTCAGGAGAACAAAAGTGTTGGCAGTCCTACAATAATGAATAAAAACTGGCACTGGCAAGATTTCTTCCTTCAGGAAATGAGGACTCCTGAGGCAGGTGGGCAGCTGGTGCACTGCTCTGAGGCTCCCTGCAGTGCTGGCCAAGGTTGTCTCCTCTTTCCTTGTACGCTTCTCTTTTTCTCCCTGAATCCATCTGTTGTCTCTTGTCTGATACTGAGATAGCAAGCTCTGGAAGATTTCATTCAGATTTCATTTCACCATCTTTGTGGTTTATATTTATCATATTATGGACTCCTGACCATGAAATTATGGTCCATAATTTGGGTTACTCTGTTAATATTGCAGTGCCTATAGCTAATAAAATTAATCCTGATATTCTGGCTACTTTTTCCTAAATGTTTATTAGCAGTTTAATATAAGGATTGTGAGATTTTGATTGATTTTGATGGAGTAGTTACAACACACAAAGCATCAGGAGATATTTGGAACTTCAATTATTCCAGCATTGATCTTAAGAGCTGTATACATATGTATACATATATACAAATAAAATAGTCAATGTGCAAATTTTCTTCTTGGGTATTCAGTAATTTCTTCTTGGGTTTCTCCAAGAAATGACACGACTTCCAAGGTCTGGGATGCTCCTTCCCAATACCTGTGCATGCCCTTTTCCTGTTCTGTGATCTCTGCTTAAACACAAGTCATAAACAAGTGAATAAAAAGAGATATAAAACTGGCTACAAAAAGTACTGCTCAAAAATAAACACCTTAAAACACAATCAATGAAATAAATGGTGTAGCTTCTCCTCTGCACACAGGCTGCTTGAAAGGTCCATGCTTTTATGATGAAATAGTATTTAATAGGAGATTAAATAATGCTTTTTCCTCCTCTTTTTCATGCCTTAATTTTGAGGTGTTTCAGTCTGTGCCCTAACATTTGCCCTTTTAGCCATTACCTTCAGCTGCTTCTTGGTTTTTTTGTGAAACATGATCAACAGGTTAATCATTTCCTCACAGGATGCACTTTTATCTCATTTTAAGAATTATCCAGAGTAAGAACTATCCTTTACAGTGTCCCACATTTATGTAATTAAATAATAAATTAAATTGATTAATAACGTGTATTCTGAATGAAAATATGTCTACTCTCAGATTTGTATTTTCTATTTTAAAATTATTTCATTACATTATTTTATACTTATTTATTATTTCTAATAATTATTATATTAAATATTATATAATTAGATAATATTATATATAATGCATTATGTATTATGTATTATGTATTATGTATTATACATTGAACATTGTATATTATATATTATATATAAATTATCGTATTATATTATTTATATTATTATATTATTAAATTAAAAAATCAAATCATTTTATTACATTTATTACATATAGAAAAATAATGAACTCTATACAGGTGCTTTTTGTCACTGAGGTAGAAAAAGGATAAACTAATTTGCACATATTAAATTGTTTTTGTCAGGAAAACTGTACATAATTTCCTTTGTAAGATGTGGCACAAGAATGGAAGTACTTCAATCCCTGACAAATGTACTATTTATGTAACATGCAGCAGTTCATTATCTTTCTCTGAGCTATGCACTTTGCATTTAAAAAAGAAAAATAAATCTGAAAATGATCTGGAGGTCCAGTGCATATATTAGAACTGTGGAAACAGTGGTTATTAAATCACAAATACAGCACTGACAAAAACAACTTATTTATAGAAGTGTCTCTGGTTTTCCTGAGACCTTCAGTTGAAGTGGCATCTGAGACTGGAGCAGTGGGCCTTTTCTCCTGCCTTGTCCTGATGGCAATTCATCCATTCCTTGTGATCCCCTGCAAGAGAAAATCCAGAAAATCATTGCAGTGCTGCTGCCAAACTCTGAGGATGCCATGAGAATTTTTGCACGTATACATTGAGCTAAATCTCACCAGGCTGAGTCTTTTTGGGGTACTGGTAGTGTTTTGTGCTCTGCAGTTTCTGTCTTTTCATTTTCTCACCTGCTGTATCTCACTGCTGTTCATGAGCATGACATGATGTTTATGACCATGGTTTTATTTATAGATACCTGTTTGCCATTTTCCTTTCCATTTCTGTCTCACGTTCTTTTCAACATCAGATCATAAATGTGTCAGGCTGTGCTCCCTGTTTTTGCAGCAGAGAGTGGTAATTTTGTCAAAATAAAAGAAAGCCATAAAACCCAACTGATTTCCTACCTTCACACAAAATCTAATTAAAATGTCACATGATATTTTTGTGTCTTTCACACCAAAACATTTCAAAATTGAACATTTTTAATCAAAATTGTCCAAGTCAGAAAACAACATGAGCTTTACGTCTAACTAAGAGGTGTTTAAAAAAAAAAAAAAGTAAATAAAAATATTTATAAAGCTTTTGCTATCATCAAAATGCTCATAAAGTGAAAATGCTACAGATCAAAGCACCAGCAGCAGCACCAAGTGCACCTGCAGTTAGCTCAGTAGAAATGTTACCTGATCTTGTTCTGCATTGTCTGGGGAGAGATTGCTCAGAGGGTTTTTTTTTGTTCCTGCCATGTGATACTTTCTGCCAAGTGTCTCATTGCTAGCTGGATTTCACTGGGTCAAAACAATCCAAAACTACTGCCCAACATCACCTTTTCCTTTGGAACCCATCTTGGGTCGTTGCTGGCTTGGAACAGAAAAATAAAATAAAAAAAGTACAAGTTTTGTAACCTTTTTAAAAATTGTGTTAAACGTTTGGCCCTCCGAATAAATGCATTTATATGAAAATACTTACTAAATAAAGGTTTTTTTCTTTAAAATGGTTTGATCTGTTTTCATAACTCGTGTAATTAATGTGCCTCTTCTGTTCATTCCAGGAGGAGATCTAATCTGGTAATTTAAGCGTTCAAAATATATTTTTAATTTTTCATTAAGGATATCACACGGGGAGGGGAGAAATAAGAAAATCTGCATTTAAAAGGGAGGAAAACACATGGATGAGTTGCTGGTGTATGGAACTGTTCAGGGAGGGTGTATGTGGACATTTTCAAGCCACGTGCACTTGGACTTGGGTAAAACTGCTTCTCAGGAGGGATTTGTGCCGCAGACAGATTAGTGACAGGGCCTCACACCAACGCAACAAAAAGGGCTTTTTGTGCAGTTTGGGTTTTGTTTTAGCTGCTGATAGCAAAGCCCTGGCTCAGTCCTCAAGTGCTTTCACAGTGAGGTTGGAGAGACCCAGGTAACGAGGTCATCTTCCATTTAATTCTAAAATAGGCTTGGATGTGATTCAGTGCCTGCCAGAGTTGGAGCAGGCTCCTCTCCTGTGTGCTGTGGGGGAGCCTGAGACATCCTGCTCTGCAATAAAACTTCTCTTTGGTGATGGGAAAATGATGATGAGCAGCAGTCAATTAATCAAATCATTCATTATGGAATATGCTGCAAAAGCACAGCCCCAGAAACCTTTATGGATGGCAATAGTTTCCCTCCTAATAAGCACCGAGTCACTCGAGTGATGCAGGATTATGTTTTAATTCTGTAATTCCACTGCCTGCTTGTGTTTAATGACGTTTATTTGAAGGAATGATGCATTTTGAGAAGTGAGGTCAGCTGGAACATTTGTTGTGCTCAGAGAGAAGTCATTAGTCACCTGTAAAAATGAAATTATTGTACTATTAGTGGACGGTACCCTATGGATATTTTGACATGTAGGGTGCTTATTGATGCTTATTTCAAAACAATAGGAAAAGATGGCAATATTTTCTATTAAAGATTTTTAAAATTAGCACATTATCTTTGGAATTTTAGTTTTAAATATGCTCTTTATTTTAAAAAGTAATTTCTCTCCTCCATAGAAAAAGGTTTCAATTTTTTTTTAATGTAAATATTTTTCCAATGTTTGGATAGCATTAAATTGGGAGGGATTTATCTTATTTTTTGTTGTTTGCCTTGAATATTATCATTCTCAGTATATATCAGATTCACTCTATTTTATGTTGTAACAGTCAAATATTGTAAAATATTTTTGCCCTTGCCAAACACCTCAGAAATAAAAACATACTGTATCTTTGCACACATTTAGCATTTGTTAACCCACACTTCCAATTCTTTTCCTGCTTGAGAGAGTGAGCATGAAAATGTAATTATTAAATACCCTTATGTGGAAGATACTCAAAGGCTGATGATTACATGAAAATAGCTGATTAGCAAGAAAATTTACAGTGTCAAACTAGAAATGTGCATTATTGGGATGCATTTCCTGAAGACAGGCCCTTTCCTTGTGCACCTCCTAAGGTACATGAGGGAGTAATAATCTACTTCTATGGCTCTAAAAAAGGTGAAAAACCAGACTTAAAATGGAAATACAGTGTGAAAACTACAATACCATGATACCTTAGCATTTATATGACCCAGTAAAGATATTTCAACCACCCCACAAAATATTGCATTTAACTCTTTGTTAAAGAAAATATGTTAATATGAAAAAGATCTTAGCAAAATTTAAAAGATAGCAATCTTTTATCTACAAATCTACACCTATTGTTGTAATATGAACACAGGCAGAGAAATAAGTATCTCACAGTGTCCCTGAGAAAAATCATCTGTGATAATTAGCAGGGTGCCATATTTTTAAATTACAGTTGTCCCAGTTAGCTGTTTCAACAATTATGGCACCAAAAAGGACAATAAGGTTGAAAAGAAGCAGTTTGAAAAAATAAAAAGAGAGAGAGAAAAGTTCTCTAAAACCTAAATTGAACTAGTAGGTATTTATGTAATTTTAAGATAAATTCATTATATCTTTTTACCTATGTTTCTTTTTCCTTTTACCTTGTACTGAAACATCACTCTTCTATTAAAGGTTGGACTCAATGATCTTGGAAGTCTTTTCCAGTCTTAATGATTCTATAATTTAGTTCTTCTGCCTTTCTGTGATGTGAAAAATTAGGGGATTAGTGTTTTAGTTTGGATGAGGAGTGCATTGCGTCTCAGGTCAGCCAGCTTTTATCCACATGTCAACCAAAAAAGATTCTAGATTCCTTCTCACATTTTCCAAGAGTTACCATTTTAGTCACCCTGTCATTATCTTTAGATCCCAGACAAGTTTATTTCCTAAGAGCCACTGTTACCTGGCAGAATTTGAAACAGCAATGTCAGGATGGTGCAGGAGGTTTCTTGCAAGAAGAATGAATTGAAGAAGAAGAATGCTTTAATTTGATTTTCTTCTTTGGAAGAGCCACAGTGGATGGCTCCTCATGCATCCCTTGGGAGATGCACAGGGACCTGTGGTGTTTTCATAAAATGAACATTAAACATTGAATTTATAAATTAAACAGCAAACAATAAACAAATTTCCCCCACCTCTGCTCCACCTTTTTTTTTTTTTACATCCTGCATTAAATCTGCAAAAAAAAAAGTGGAAATAAAAGGTGAAATTTGTGCAAATGACTCAGTGTAAAATGAGTAGAGAAACCTGTGTGTTTTCTAATTGAGGAAACACAGTGCTTCTCAACTGACCTTCCAGTTGTTACAAAAGGAGCAAAGTGTATGTTTGCTTTAAATTTGAAAGTAATTTTCCATTTACACCCAGCAACAGAAGGCTGGATTTTGGGTATATCTAGCAAATATATCTATGGGGAGGGGAGATGGGGAACTTTGAACTATGCTTATCTAAATATGATGGTAATCAATGGGAATGCTAAATTTAATTTTTTTTTTTTATTTTAAAAAAGCACTTTTTATCAGTTTTACTCTGACCCCTTTACAGGAATTTGGATCTTGAAAAATTTTGATCCAAATGCAAAATATCAAATGCTTTTTTCTCATCATACAAGTCATATTTAAGTGACAGTAACATCAGTTTAAAAAATGCTTTAGATAAGGAATTGTGAGGAAAAGATAACCCTAATTTTGTCCAATCTTATGTCTGTTTGGGAAGGATAAATACTGGAGGGATAAAATATTTCAGCCAACATGAAAAACAGTAACTATATAATTTCAAATATGTAAATGTAATTTCAAATCCTATAATTTGAATCCATTAATTAATTCCCTGCTTAACAAAGTATTAAATATGGTGGGAAAGATGAAAGGCTGTGGCCTGCAAGTTTAAAAAAAAAAAAAAAAGAAAAATTTAAGTGTAACTTTTGCTTGTTCCACCTGTGAAGGCCTGGACACCTGCAGTGGTCACAACAACACATTGCCAACCAGCTTTTGGGTTGTTTGGATTTCGTAATTTCTACCCAGAAAACTCAGCTGAAACTGCACAGCTCTCCCACTTTCCAGGTGAAAAGGAAAAACTCTGCCTTCCTCTTTGTGCCAGCTCTGACTGTCCCTGAGTGTTTTCCTGACCCAAGAGAAGCCTTTTCTGCAGGCTGAGCTGAATCTGCTAAATGGGATTTTCAGTGGCAGCAGTGGAGAGCTATCAGAGGGAAATTGAAGAGGCCAGGGAAATTGGGAGAGGCCAGCTCTGTCCCTCTGCACAGCGATGGGCTGGGAGCGTGCCTCGCTCTTTCGTGTGATTGCACCTGTTATTAGGGACTGAACACGAGGCCTCCTGGATGGAATTACAGCCCTGTGGTCTTGCCTTCTCCTCTCCTTATCTTTGTGGCTTTGCTCTAATGGCAGAGCCTCAATCAGGACTCAAGCTTGTTCAAAAATTAAGAGTCTAGCTGATACAAGCAACTCATAAGCTGATATGAACAACTCATACTGGCTGTAAAAAGTGTTTTGATGATACAGCTTATAGCAGTCTGACAAGTAAAACAAATTGTTCTAGCCAAAGCATTTTCAGTCTGCATCTACACTTGGGATTTTTGATAACAGAAATAGCACAAAGTGTCATTGGTAAGTGTTCTGCCAAAAGCTTCTAGCCTGTGTTTGTCCTCAGATCATTTCTTTTTGCTGCATAATAGATTACATCTGTTGGAAGTATCTTCTTCTAACTTCTGGGTTGGTTTTTTTTCCCCTCAGAGCACTCACAACTAACCAGTGCTTATCCCCTGCAAAGGCTTCGAGACAAGGAGGAACAGGAGCCCATGGAGGTGTGTGTTTCAATGCTAAACTTCATAAATGAATCTAAATGACACTGGGCCTCCTTCCACTGAGTTACTTAAGTACTTTGAAACAAAACACTCCCCTCCAAGCGGTATCAGGAGTCCACAGGACTTACAGGTGTAACAGGAGTTTCCACGTTAACCCCTCTGTTGCCTACCAGCACAAAGGTACCAGCCAAGAGAAAAATAGGACAGGGAAGAGTTTGCTGTTTTCCAGGTGACCAAAAAAAAATAAATCATGTGAGGGTTTCTCAGACACACATAGAAGCTCTGATAGAAGAGGTCATCAGAGTGTTTAAAGCTGGCTGATACATCTAATGGATGATACATCTAATGTTGTTTTACTGTGCTTTGTGGGCACTTAAAAACTATTTTGTGGCCAAAATAATCCTTAGGAGTCACTGACAGGGGAGGTTCATCACTCCAGCTCTGGCTAGTCCTCAGTCCCAAGGCTGAGGAAACCTTCAATTGAAACAGCTTCCAAAGTAAGGAGCTTCTTGAGAGATCTTGTGAGGAAATAAGGACAAAGAATGGATCTGCAGAGGGATGCTGCGCTCCACAGAAGCAACTGAAGGAGTTTCAAAGAGATTTGAGAGTTTGATTACACGCTGGTGATACTCCTGTTGCAAGGTGAGTAGAAGTTTAGCTTGATCTAATTAGCAAAAGCTGGAACATGAGGACAGTGCTGGGATGTTTCAGGAGGTGCTGTCATTTAGCAAATGTGACCAACTCAAAACTGCAGTGAGAGAACAGTATGATGAGAGAGGTTAATGAGCCCAAAGACACCCCTTTTTTTTCTAAATCGAAATTAAAATCTGTTTCTGAAAGTTGGCTAAAATTGTGCATGTGTGTCCTTGAAGCACTGGGTTCATAAATTTGCCTGTTAGTACAGGATTAATGTAATTCAAATGTACAACTGTATTTGGATTGTTTTGGTTATCAAACTGTAAGAAAGTACATGGGGAACCACAAGAAAGTCCCTGGAAATAGATCCTAATAAACAGCTGGAAAAATTATATTGAGATTCGTCAGTGGATCACAACTTGGGCTGATATACATCAATTTAAGTTTGCAGATGAAGCATTTTAGAGTTTGTATGCTTAAGTAATCAACAAGAATGTTTATCAACATTTACTGTCTATTTATATGTTAATAAAATGTGTAGAAATAACTCTGTAGGATGCTTTTTTTTTTAGGAGCTTGATTAATATTTCTAAAATTAGCAAGCAATAGATGTGATGAGCAGCTCTTGAGTGCTATAATTTACTACCATTGACACCCACCTATTTCTTCCCCAGCCCTAAATTAAATGGCTCATTACTTACAAGACTGAGAATTGGTGGCGTTGTGGTAGTAAATCCAATGTTAGGTTTTAGCACTTCTGTACAAGAAGTCTGGCTTCTCCAATTAATTAATTCAAATTCTGACTTTACTTCCTAACAATCTTTATTACAAGGATCAGTCCTAAATAAAGGTTAAAATCAAGCAGACACGTGTTGAAAATACTGGAACAAGTAGTGAGAAAAAATAGCAGAGTACGTGTAGTTGTGCAAGTAAATAAAGAAATTCTTTGTTATTTTTGGCAAGAGGTGGAGAAGCATGTGATGTCCAATTGTAGCTGTAGCCAAGGATTTATCTTGGGGCTAAATACTTTATAGGCAAACAGTAATTCCTTTTTCGCCCCACATCAGCTGAACACTATTTCGGGTCAAGAACGCTGCTTGCAGAAGTTGCCCAGTCCTACAACCAACCACGAATATTTAAGTGATGTATAATATTAGGGACGTGTTGTTACTGGGGGGTGTATCCCGTTATTCTGTGAGGAGTTGAGCACGGCAAAACGCTCCAGTGTAAGGCAGGATGGAAAGTGGTCAAGGCCTTTGCTCCGTTATCTCTGTAGCTAGCGGTGTGTCCCATGGGCTCGGGCTAGCGTGGCAAGGACTGCTCGCCAGGGAAGGATGTCACACCGCATCTGGAAGGTTGGTGCTTCACAGCTATTTTCAGGGCTGGCTGGGGAAGTCTCTTGTCCTTTAAGGCCAAAGCACTCATTTAAATGAATTGGGAGTTGACATGTTCATTGTCACCTTGTCACCCCTAAGCTCCAGGTCAGGCCTCTCTCCCGGCAGCAGTTTGCCCATCGTGATGTGTCTGTGAATGTTGTGGGAGCTGCCACTAACGAGGTGGGAAGCGCTCAGCGTTTGGGGTGTGGTGATCGGGATGCCCAGCACCGGGGGTTTATTTGGAGTTTTACAGGTGCTCCTCGGAGAGCCCCCACAGAGCACGAGGTTGCCTTCCTCCAGGTAGCCGCGATGCTGGCAGAGAGGAGAGTTCGCAGTAAGAGCATCTCAAGTTCTCCTCCCGGGGGACCGTCAGCAGACCCTGAGGAGGCTCGGCCGCCGTGTCGCTGCCAGGGGCGGTGCTGCCCATCAGCCGCCGGGGCCGGT